CCTTTCTGTTTGGCAGCTAGCTCAGATCTGCCACCATGATGCATTTGCCGTTAATGAGCTAGCCTTGTTTATGCTTTTACAGCAGCATGTGATAATTAAACTGCACAGAGGAGTGTGAAATAATAGCTTTGTGTTTACTTTGCGCCTTTGCTCATGTGGTGGAGTGTGTGCATTTCTGTTAGATATGTACGTAAGCTGAGGAAGACATGTGCCAATCAAGTGCTGGAAATCAACAACGTATGTGGTATCTTGTCTATAAAGTTTTGCCAATTAAAGGTTAAAAGCTGAATTTGTGTGTGTGTTTGTTTGTGTCCTTGTGCATGCCAGTCAGCCCTGATTAAGAGCCCAGAGTGTCAGGGAAAAGGATGGGATAGTTCCTTGCGAACTGTTTTTTTTCCTTCATAGATTCCCTGACAGCTCTGTAATTACAGCTCTATTATGAAGTGTGTGTGTCTAGGAGAATGAGTGTCATGGGTTTGATGACTGTGGAACAGGGAGTCGCTGAATATTGAGCGATATTTTTAATCTTTTGTTATGTAAAGACGCATTAAACAAACATTTATCAAGAGCAGAGGAAGGAACAAAGGCAGCCATTCTCACAGTCACTCCCTCACACACGGCGAGCTTCTTCTTCTTTTTTTTTTTTAAACAGACGTTTCCGTGTCTCATCCATTTTTCCCTGTGAGCGTCACTGACACCGCAACCGCCTATTGAGAACGTGTTGAGATGCCATATGCAACATATGGTCTGTTTTTTTGTTTGGTGGTTGGAGACATGAGCTGAACCAATTGTAGGAAGGAAGAAACAAAACACTGTTTTAAGGGTACGAGGAGTCACCGAGTTGGCGCCTGTTGTTCAGCTGTTTGTCGATGGGAACTGAGCAGCAGTGATGCCACAAGAGTTAAAATAATGGAGGAAATTAGAATCCAGCTTACCTAAAATACAGGTCTGTGTCTTCATTACAGCAGACTTAGAAGTTTCTGCTACTTTGAGATTGCTTTATAGTACGTAGCCTGCTGTGCTCCTTCACAGAAATACGGCGTAAACAGCAGCTTCTATGATAGGTCCGTTTGGTAGCAATGTACCGTGTAAGCACAGTTTATTGATTGGGGCAAGGATGATGCAATTCAGACGCACTGGCACACAAGTTTAAATGCAAAAACCCCACAAAAACACAACTTTGCCCACTACGGCGTGCGCTCTGTGGGGATTTAATGCAGGAGTAAAAATCTTTTAAAGCCTTGGCCTCAGGGCAGCAACCAAAAAGGGAATAAAAAGCTAAGGTTTTGTCAGACGGTACCTATGTTTTCATGATTTTGCGTCATTGCTAACTCGGTGCCTCTTTCACTGTATTTACCTGCATGCAGCCAAACTCTGCTCAAACACGATTGGTCGGTGGAACTTACAGAAATTACAGATGGAAAACCTGAGCCAAGAGTTGCCTACAGATACTGTATCTGCACATCTATATGCACATAGAAATATACTGAGTTAACTCCACATACACTCTAATTGTGCTAGATATCACTGCAGTCACCCCCATAATTCCAAAGGAAAACAAAACACAAACACTGATTCAAAAGCTTTGACCATTTCTATAATTTTCTATCTCTGCAGTAAAATAAACATCACTGATGCAGAGAGGTCAATCTGATGGTATAAAGCTTAACAGGAAGTTGAACCCCATCTTTAGAAATCCACTGAACTGAAACATTTTTAAGGACAAAGTGTCTTTCGACAAGGTTAAGGTCACATTTGACATTTGCGTTATTCAGATTGACTTGGGTTAGAAGTCGGCATAATGCATTTTTAATCAGTTCCTGCTCAAAGCAGTCGTGTCAAAGAAATAATTACTACACGCCCTATACGTTACATACATCCATGCCTTGGCTCCTCACCTCTGGATGCCATTGACCTACTTTATATGCATTTCATTCCTCGGCGCAGCGGCCTGCAATTGCTTTAGAGGGTTGTTTAACAATACAATTATACTTCCATTTTTCATCCTGGTTTAGCTTTTCTGAGACAGTTTTGATAGCTCTGTAATTACATCTCTGTTATGAGGGAAAGGCTGTGCGTGTGATAGTGACTGCAGCAGTAATTAACAGAGAAGGGAGTTCTGAAGGAATCTGTCTAGCTACATACTTGTTACTGTCACCTTTACCATAGATAGTCTTTTTTTTTCTTTGCCGCTCCATGCAGGATCTCTGCTGTTTTGCTTTTGTCTTTACACAGAAAACTGATGGAAAAAGTTTAAATATATATATTTTTTATTATTATTATTTTGTCAGAATCTGTGCACCGCCACATGCAGCAGTACGAGGTGGAGTACCTGCAGTTTGCCTTTCGCTGGATGAACAACCTCCTGATGAGAGAGTTGCCATTACGATGCACAATCAGACTGTGGGACACCTACCAGGTACAACAAAGTTATTGTTATTCTGCTTTCTTTTTGTTTTCACTTTATTTGTATGTGTTTGGTTTGCAAGTTTTCAAAAACTTGATAATCTCTTACTGTTTTGATATCAATTACATCTCAGCCAGAGCACTATGATGCACCATTATATCGACGTTCTTCTGTTAACATTACAGATTTTCTCCATGGTGTTCTTGATTATACAGGGCTGGTTGTACAGCTTTACTTTGCTGCTTGGGCCCACCGCACAGTCTTGCTAGTAAAAGTTTACACTTCAGTTTGACAGAGGGGTGTTATTTGTTCATGACATAGAAATGTTTAAAAGTGGGAATAATAAACATTCCTGAAGCATCTGGCAAAGAAATCTCCATGTGTGAGACAAAAGTTTTACCTGAGTTAACTTATGGCTCAATTTTTATTTATGCATGAGTGCCACAGTTAAAGCTTGACGTCAGACTGTGAGAGACAATCTTAATCTCCTTCAAACAAATCTTGACTTTTTTTTTTGTGACATTTACACTGAGCTTATAAGCCAGCTTGTAGAGTCAGAGACAGATTTTTAACCTTGATCGGAATGGTTGAAAACCCCCATAATGCTTGCTTATATGTGTATGTACATCTATATGTATTTCTAATCCACAGATGTAAAATAGCACAATGCACATTTATTAAACAAAGGCCTTAAAAAAATCTAAAATTGGCTTAAATTTACATAAGATTTGTAAAATTTTCACAATCACCAGACTATTGTTACTATATATTATATTGCAGGAGTTATGTGTGATCTCAATATTATAGCCATAATGTTTTTGCATCCACAGTATAATTTAGAAGGCTGTAGAAGGAGAGCAGCCAGTAACAGTTAACCTCGACCCCACATACAGCGATTAAGGATTCAGCATATTGAATATAACTGTTCAGATATTTGATATAAAAGAAGGGAAAAAACAATGTTTGTTTGTTTGGTTTTTAAGTTGTAACATTTGCTTCTTTATAGATTGCACTACTGTTTTTAGGCTTTTATATGTGAAAAAAATATTAAACCTACATTAGTTAATTTATTGGTAGGTGTGGGTATGTATTTGGGTTGGGGGGACTTCCCAACATTTATACCTAGCATGGGATCAAATTAAGAGGCTTGCAGTGCACGGATGGAAACTCCAAAGCTCTTAAAGAAGAGAAAGGCTTTACTAGTCGGCCTTCAGTCGTTAGTCTGTGAAAACGGAAAGATGCAAGATCAACCTCGAGAAAAACGATTATGAAATGTTTAAAAAGCAAACTGCACTTTAAGTCTAATAATCTTTCTACATTATATAAATACATGTAGAAAATGTTCTTAAACCCAAATAAATATGTACATTTGACCTTTACTATTATTATAACTGGTACCAGTTTACTTGCATGGGCATAACACTTTTTTTTTTACCATTGCCATTTAGATACTGAATTTAATTTAAAATATAATTTTTAAGTCTTAAAATTAAATTGAACGTCTTCATACCCGTAGACTCCCTGAGAGAGTGTAATACTTGTTAGGTTACATGAGAAGTGTCGAAGGAAAAGGAATGAAAACCAAGTTTGAAATAAACTTCTCCCAGTGATGGCTCTGTGCCAGGCCTTTGCAAAAACACGTATAAGCATCTTTGTTGCTGTCGTCTTGCAGTCACAGTTGTTGTTATTCCTGCTGCCTGTTCTCAGCGTCTTCACCGTGACTCAGAGTTTCTGTCCTCTTCTTTTCCTTACGTATTGTTCTTATCTTCCGTTACAGCTGAAAATGCTGATGTTTCTCGTCACATAACCTTTAGCTCGTGTCATTTGTGTTTGCGTCACTGAAAAAGAGACTGCAAGTCTTGCGAGTCTAAATCAGACATTTTTCATAAATCTGAAGTATTTTGCTGTGTGAAATGTAGAATGTAGTAAAGCGAATGAAGGGAATGTGAAGGAGTAAAGTCTGCAGAAAGATTCAGATTGACTGCAGTAAAAATAGACGCGTACAAGAACAGAATTATTAGGGAACTAAAACAGAAAAGTTAAACATGGGCATGTTGCAGCTGAAGTACATAGTTCACTGCCAACAAGCCATAGCTAGTAGTAAACAAATATGGTCAAAATCTGTATGAGCTCTGGCTTTGGGGAGTATAACATAGATCGCAGCTGGCACACAAAAGGGACATGGCAGAAGCATGTTTGTGCTGTGCTTGAATTAAAACACCTTCAGGGTATTTGAGGTCCACAGTGAATCAGATTTGTCCTTTCCATAAAAAAAGTCTGTGTTGTTGTTTATCCAATCTTCTCCCATGAATGTCGAGTTATATATTTTAATTAATCACTCACAGTTTACTGTGTGAAAGAGGAATTGTGATAGAAGTAATAGCTAATGAGTCCAAATTGTAACGTAGTAGAGAAACACAATAAGCTACAAGTAATCCAAGGAAGGGGCAAACCGGGGGAGCTACAGATTAACAAAGGAAAGGGAGCGATATTTCTATACATGCACATTATAAGGATAAGGATTAGTGGATACATGTGGGAATGTGACAAAGTCTAAACAGTAAAGTAAAGCAAGTCACAACTACCAAAGTAAAACAGCAAATAGCCCACCCCTCCATAAACAGTAACTGGAACCTAAATATAACAAGAACGAAAGATTCAAGTTACTAGAATCTAAAGAAAATACAACCTCGACCTAACAATAATCAAACATTATGTGTGTAGAATCAGAACAAAATCAAACCAAACAAATTTCATAACAATAAATAAGAACCTATGCAGTCTATGCAAAAGCCAAAGTGTTGTACCGTTATAGAAATGGTAACATCAACAAAACATGTGAAGTCAGAAAAGAGATTGTGAAGTGTAGAAGTTCAATATATAAATAAATATAGATGGGAAATTATTAAATGGACAACTTCCAAATCCAATCCAGTAACAGGTGTTCTTGAAACATTTGTCATGTCATTAGGTGAAAAGAATAACTGCAATTTGGCAGTATTCCTCATATGGAAAAAAGCAGCATTTCGATACAACGCTGACATGTTGCATTTTAGCATTGAATCCAAAATAAATCCCTGATTCTTAGCACTGTCATGAAGGGTTAATGTCATTGGGCTTAAGCATCTCACTATACTCACTGCTCTGGTCGGGAACCCAAACCAATAAATATTTGTATTTAACTGAAGAATGTTTTTGGAAATTCAGTATTTCAGATTACTTGAGGGACCTGAAAATTATCTTCATAGAGAGGTATGTTTGTGTGTTGTCCACATAGAAGTGGAAGGCAACATTATGCTTGCGGGGAAATGAAACCTACAGGGAACAATGGAACTGCCCAGTGCAGCCGAACGATATCAAAGACTCCAGTCTCAGCCTGTCAATAGGGAAGCAAGAGGTAGGAAAGGTGGGGGCCGGGAGGTTAGCAGCAATCAAATTTCAAAATAAGGTTGCTCATCATTAAATCGATTGCGGATGGTAGTGTCTTCTCATGAAGCTAAATAAATAAAAATACAACATGATGAAATGAGCCACAGAATATACTTGGACATAAAATCTTGGTGGAATCTGTGTGTAGGAAATGCTGTCTGTGCTATGCTCTGGACTATTCTAATTAACTATTTGAAAAATAACAAACTAAAGACCATCTTTTTCGAGATATAGGAGCAGACCCAGCTCTACTATATTAAGGTCTGTATTATATAATGTCTGCATGGTGTCCATAGTAACAAGCTGTTCCTTTTTATCTTTTTATCATGTATCTCTAGTTAAGAGCTGACTGTTTTGGAGAACAGAAAATACTGTTGTCTTCTCTCTATAATCCACTCAGAGAATCATAAACTACGTGTGTCCCACAGAAACATTGCCCTGGCATTTAGTCATAACTCATGTCTCATGTCCTGAATGCTGTTTACACAGTGATGTCACAATAGTGACTACGCTGATAGTTAGTACCGCAGGGCAGCCTCAGTTTAGGTTTTGATATTCTTTGTTAAGAAATTATCTGTCGCACATACCAAACGGAAGACGATGCTTCCACAAGCCTTACATAACATTTAAAACTCTATGAAAACAAAAATCTATGAGTTAAGTTGCCTCTGCAGTGTTTGTTTAGTACCCATATAGTACTATGCAGAAGTTTAGCCAAATGAAAGCACTCAGTTGCTTTAGCAGTCCCTTTAACCTTTAATCAAATATCAATGAAGTAGATGTAACTGTATTTCATATAATTACTTTTCCTACACTACATACAGTCATAGTGTACCACTACAAGTTTGATCTGATATTCAAGAGTGTTGGTGGCAGCTATTGTGGACCTGAGCATCGAGCCTAAAGCTGGGGCTAGGACTGAGCTCCAGAGGTCTGGTAATGTCACTTGTTTCAAACTTGACAGTTTGGGAAGTGTTGTAGTCTTCACCAAAACCCAGAGTCAGTTCAGATGGTGTGAGCGTCTGACACGGATGGCTCTTGGTCACTTCACTGTAGAGGTGGGAGACCCTTGTTTTTCCCTGAAAGAAGCTGGAGGATGTACTTGCAGCTGAGGAGAAGGGTGTGCAGGCCACTTTGCTTAGACTGCTGTTGCAGCACTGAACCATAGAGAACAGGCAGGATTCATTATAGCTTGAGTTTAAAAAACAAGACAAAACAAAAACGGCACAAAACCAGGAAGTTTAGTGAGACATTATGTAGTGCAACTAGAACCCCTAAAAAACAAAACAAAAATTATATTTTTAGTTTATACCTCAGACAGTTAGCAAAAACACACTATAATAGTTCAACCTGAAATCTTCATCGAGGTCTGGCATACACATCGGAATTAAATATCAGCTGTATAGCAGTCTACCAACACCTGTGGCAGACTATACAACGGTGTTAAAATAAAGGCAAAACCCACATGCAGCATAGAAAAATACATAATTTTTGCGAAATAGAAGATTGAAATATAGAAACTCTGAAGTGACCCTCTGACCTTGAAACAAAAGAGGACTGCAAAGAGCCCTGTAAAAGAATAA